ACAGCAGCGCCACGTCGCGCGCCCGGCGGCCTTCGGCCTGGGGGGGCCCCGGGGCGCCGCCGCCCGACGACGCCAGCTCCTCGGCCTCCAGCTCCAGGATGTGCTCGTCGGCGCGCGCCAGTTCGCGCTGCTGGATCAGGCTCAGGATCTCCAGCACTGTGGGATGAGGCGGTGATCAGCGCGGGGACACCCAAGAGGAGTGTAGGGCTAGAAAGGGGGTCACGGGGTCAGGCTTAGGGGGACCCCGGGGAGGGGGCACAGATGGAGAAAAGAATCGAGGAAGGGCCCAGAGAAGGGGCAGGCGAGGGGGTAGAGATGAGGACATCGAGGGCAGGTGGGGAAGCTGCAGTGCCTGGCGTGGGAGAGGAACGGCGAGGGGGAAAGGGGGGCAATGGAGGGAGAGGAGAAGTGAAGGAGGAGGAGGTGTCGGGAGGGAGAGGAGAAGTGAAGGAGGAGGAGGTGTCGGGGTGCAGAGGGAGATGGAAGGCATTGGAGGGGAAGCCTGGGGGTGCTGAGGGAGGAACTGTCTGTGAGGCAGAGGCCCAGGAGAGCAGGGACATTATCAAGAGTGACAGGGAGCCCGCAGGGTACCTGGCCAGGGACTAAGGAGCCAGGGATGGAAGGAGTTTCAGGGAACCAGTCTGGAAGGGCAGAGGTTGAGGTTGGGGACGCGAGGGGTAAGAAGAAAGCAGGTGGGCCTCCAGGAGAGAAAGGCGGTGGCAAAGGAGGCTGCGAGAGGCAGTGACTGGTGGGGAGGTGCGAGCCAGGTGAGGGAGACAGAAGGTACTAGGCCAGAGATGGGATCTCGGGGTGGGACGGCAGGGGGAGCTGGCACCCGGGAGGTCAGGCTGACCCGGAAAGGGGGGCTCATGGGGTTGGGAGGCCACAGCGAAGGCAGCAGGAGGGTCCCGCGGCCCAGAGTTACCCTTGACGCCTCCCCCGCCCACTTCCTCGCTGGCAGAGGGACTGCTTCCTGGCCAGCGCTATTTCTGCCCATCCGTTTCCAGAAGGCGGGGGTTCCAGTCACCCCCTCCTCACCTCCCCGAAGTGCCCTCCCAGTCCCCTGGGAGCCCGGGCTGAAATAGCCTCTGGCCAGGATGTGAAGGGCATCAGAGGACGAGGGGGTCCTGGAGGTGCCCAGGACAGTGGCTGAAGCTGGGGGTGGAAACTCAGTTAGGGCCAGAGTGGACCCAGGGGGAGGCTCGCTGGGAATCCGAAGAGGGCAAGGAAGAAGGAATGGAGAGTGACCTTGGGGCTGAGTTCTGAGGGGTTGGTGACTTGGGTGATGAGTTTAGGTGACAGTGGAGGATGGGGAGAAGGCAGAGACTGGCATGAGGTTAAAGACGCCCTTTGGGAGTCAAACGGGAAAGTGGATGGGCCTTCAGGCTTCAGACTGGGGTGAAGGAGAGTGGGACTGCAGAGGAAGGGGCTGGGATGGGAATAGGAGGGTTTGTGGGGTCCAGAGTGGGTGCTGAGTCTGCCTGGGTTGGGGGCAAGGAGTGGAGTCAAGGGAAGGGCAGCACTGGAGATCGGAGGCAGGGCTGCTGTCTCCCCATGGCGCCAGGCAGAGATGAGATAAAGGCAGCGGAAGGGAGGGTGGGTGAGGAGCCTTTGGGTGTCCTGGGATAGACACTGATGACTGGGTTGGGGTACCTGTGGCAGGGGGCACAAAAAGGGCATGGAGGAGAACACTGAGGTGCAGGGAAGGTCTGTAATCCCCGCACTCTGGGATGCTGAGGCAGGAGGATTGGGGCGAATTTGAGACCAGCCTGGCTACATAGCAAGACTCTGTCTCAAAAACCAAACAAACAAAAGCTCCAGAATAAAAAGAAAACATGGCTGGCAAGCCACCAGAAACAGGAAGCAGGGGACAGATGCCTTCAGGTTGCTGAGGCCATGAGACAACACTGGCTGCCACAGAAACCCTGTGGGGGGCAGGCGAGGGGCCTCCCGCCTACAGGTGAAGTTCTAGGTGGGTCCAGGAATGAGGCTAGGATTGGGCTAGACTGAGGGACTGGGTGCAGACTGGAGCAGGGAAGGACTGGTGATGGTGCAGGAGGTTGGGGCTGGGTCTCTAGGGTGTTGTGCAAGGCTGAAAGTGAATGCTAAAAAGGGGATCAACTTGCATTTGAGTTGGGGAAGAAGCGCAGGGCAGGTAGGGACATGGAGGGATGGGACCTGAGGGGAGTTTCTCAAATCCTGGGGGTCAAGCTGAGGTTTCCCTTGGTGTTGGGGGTGTAGGTCAGGTGAACACAGAGGGTAGAGCTGGACAGGAAGTGGGAGACTGGGGTTGCCTGGGGGGCTTAGGGAACCAGCACTGTCCTATCTGGGTCAGGACCCTTACTCACCTGACAGTGGCTCCTTCATCTTCAGGGGTTCTGGGACCTTGGGTGGGGGCTCGGGAGCCGCTTCACCCGCGGGCACCACCCTCTCAGCCAAGGATGCACGCCGGGGCTTAGGCCCTCGCCCCAGCCGTAGGAAGGCCAGCTTCCGCGCTGTGTCCCCGGCCTCCTCTTCCGTGTGGGCCCGGGGCCCCTGCAGCCGGGATAGCAGGCCAAAGTCTGCTGAGCTCCTCCGAATCCCGGGGCCCAGCATGCGGCCCAGGAAAGAGCGGGGCTGCCCGTCCCCTGGGCTGCCTGCACGTCGGCCCGAGGTCCAGCCCAGCCGGAAGGGGCCCAGGCCCACCAGCTTCTCCAGGGTGGCACGGCGGTGACAAGATGTTCCATTGGGTAGGGGGCCCAACTCCCCATGCTCTTCCTCCAGCCCCGGAGTTTCCTCGAAGGGGTTCCGTGAGGACCTCAGAGGCAGAGTCCCGGCCCGGGGCACCTTAGAATCTGTCACCCTCAGGCTTTTGGGGATAGGCATTTTGACAGGTGGGCACCTGGGGGAAAAGAGATCATTGATGCCCTTGAGGGCAGTGGCTCTGAACTGAGGGAACAGGGCTGAACACTTGGTCCCCCCCTGCATTGTCCTACAAGGGATGGGTTAGGGGCTATTGTCACCTCCCTTTTGTGTGGTACTAAGGATTAAACTCAGGGCCTTTACAATGAATGAGCTACATCCCAACCCTTTCTTTCTTTCTTTCTTTTCTTTTTTTTTTTTTAATTTTGAGACAAGGTATTGCTAAATTGTTAAATTCCCCCAAGCTGGGCTTGAACTTTCAATCTTCCTGCCTCAGTCTCCTGGAGTGCTGGGATTCTGGGCAGCATGCCATCACCACGGCTTTATTACCCACATCTTGCAGATGACAAAATGGAGACTCGGAAGGGCACTGGCACCTGTCTAAAGCCCCGCTGTGGTATAGGAGCACAGCTGGGATTTGCAGCCAGACTCACGGGACTCCAGAGCCTGCTTCTCCCCTGAGCTCCCCCTCCCTCACCTCCCTCTCTCCTTCCCTGTCTCTGTGCCTGATCCCAGTGCATCATGAAGAAAGTGGCTCAGAAAGGACCAGGCTATCTGGGAGGTGACACAGCATGCTAGGGGCGGACCCCACCTCCTGTCTGTCTAATGGCAAGGCACCTGCCTTCACCCTACTGTCCCTGTCCAGCTGTCCACTCTCCCCTCTTGTCCCATTCCCACTCACCCCTGCAGCAGAAGCAGGGTGGAGAGGCTGGCAAGGGCCAGAGCTGGGGTGACGCTACTGGTGTTTCCTTTTGCTGGGATGAGGATTTCTAGAACTAGATAGAGGTGGTCGGTGCCCTTGCGAATTTGTGAAAGGCCACCGAACTGCATGCACGCTTTCAAAAGGTTCAGGATGGTGGGTTTTATTGTGTGTATTTTACCAAAACGAAAACAAACCAAAAAACAAACAAACAAACAAAAAAAAGCCAAACCCTCTAGGTTTATGACCCACCCTGTTTGTGCAGGCATCGGGGACATGATGGCTAAATCAGACCCAGGCCCTGTCCTTGGGATCACAGCTTCCTGAGTCCTGCACATCCCACCCCCTAAGCGTCTCTCTCTCCTTCTTCACCCTTTGGTCCTTCTCCCTCCCTTCTCCTGGCCACTACCCCAGACTGAGCCCCTGCATGTTCCCCCCTGCCTGACTCCTCCCTAGTCTCCAGCCTCCAGCCTTGACACCTTCACCCCACCTTTGAGGACCTCGATATAGCTCCTCCCTTCTTCCTGAGCCTCCCGTGGCTCCCTAGTGCCCTTGACATAAACCTCAAGCCTCTCATCACAGCCTGCGCCGTCTGGGAACTTCACACCTCTCCAGTTCTATCCCTCCGCCTCCTCCTCTTCCTCCTTCTCCTGTTCCTCCTCTCCCTCCTCCAGTCTCCTCTAGCTTTCTGCCCCCCACCTCCAATTAGGAATTGAACCCAGAGCCTTTGCACTGAGCTACATTCCCAGCCCTCTGTATTTTTTATTTTGACACAGGGTCTCACTAGGTGACTTAGTTACCCAGGCTGGGTTTAAACTTGTGATCCTCCTGCCTCAGCCTCCTAGAGTGCTGGGATTACAGGTGTGCACTGCCACACCGACTTGCCTGTGCTTCTAAGCAGAAGCCTATTCTCCAGACTTTGGGGCTCAGCCCCAGTGTGCCCTCCTCCAGGAAGCCCTCCCTGACCCCCCTGGGCTCCTGGAGTCCTGGGGTCTCCCATCCCAGCTCTGGCCAGTCTAGATCATTTCCATCCTGGGAGCCTGGGGCACAGGCTGGAGCTGTCTTAGTCCCTGCTGTGTCCCTGGCTCCAAGCTTGGGGCAGGCTCTCTGAGATGGGTGCTAAACAGGAAACAAAGGAAGGAAGGA